TTTGCCAGATTCCAAAAACGATTTTCTTTTGCTTTGAACAAACAACCAATGCATCTATATAATAGAAAACACCCATGGATCTTATACTACTGTTGGGTTTTATGTACTACAACATCCCTATGGTGCACATGTGACCCTAATGCTTTGGAGCTAAGTTTTCTCTAGTTATACATGCAACAAAATTATCCAAAGCATGAAACCTATAACTAGCATACAACATAGATATATGAAACATAAAAACTAGTTAGATAATTACCTCTTATTGTAGCTTGAAGAATTTGGCCTTTTAAGAGCTTAGCACCTCAAGTGTGATGCCTCAAATGATTCACAAAATACCATAAGCAAATGGAGGATAATGATAGAGAGAGGCTAGGAGCACAAAAAATTGGCTAGGGTTCTACGTGGAACTCTTGGGTGCCAATTTTGGAGCTAAGGGTTACATTTATAGTGTTGAAATCCTTGAGTTTCAACTTGTAAACCCTAATCCACTTCCTTGAGCCTTTAATCCAATAATCCATATGATAATCCCTTTGGACTAAATCTTCATGGACTCCACAAAGATTTAGTCCACATAATCAACATGGATCATTAGCCCAAACTATAAGTGTCACTGACATACTTATCAGTACCCTGTTAATTTAATTAGTCTCTTTTGATCACTAAATTAATTCCAAATTAATTCTTGATCAATACTAATTAAATAATATGATTTCTTAATTAATATATTATACTTATAATATATTAATAAATCACAAATAACATCGTTCTCAAATATCATTCCTATCAAATTACTTTGGAGAATGCAACCTAAAATGGACCATGCTACCATCGGGTCAAGTATATACCAATTATAGTTATGGGCTTAGATACCTAATCCAACAATTGGCACCCCATGTAATCCTACAATATCCTTGATGTACGTCCTTGTTAGTTTCTCCATTTTGTCTATCTCTTTTATTGGTAGGAAGTGCACGGATTTGGTTAACCTATCGACGACTACCCATATGGTGTCATGCCCACCAGTTGTCTTGGGGAGTTTAGTTATGAAGTCTATGGTTATCCGCTCCCACTTCCACTCAGGTATATGTGGTTTTTGTAGCAAACCCGAGGGCTTTTGATATTCTACTTTGATATTGGCGCAGGTCAAGCACTTACCTACATATGTAGCGATTTTTGCCTTCATGTTTGGCCACCAATAGAGTTTCTTGAGTTCTAGATACATCTTATTAGACCCAGGATGAATGGAGTACTTGGTCTCGTGAACCTTGTCTTTGATAATGTCTCTGTAACCGCCGAATCTCGATGTCCAAATCCGGTTCATGAGGTAATAAGATTTGTCACCTTTGTACTCAAGGTTTTTATCTATTCCCCGAAAGGCTTCACTTGTGACGTTATCAGGTTTCAAGGCTTCAAGTTGCACCTCCTTGATCTGGGTGGATAGATGTGAATGTATAGTTATTGTTAACAATTTTATTCGGCGGCCCGAGTACTCCTTTCGACTTAAAGCATCTGCTACTACGTTGGCCATGCCCGGATGATAGCAAATTTTGCATTCGTAATCATTTAGTTGTTCTACCCATCGTCGTTGTCTCATATTGAGTTCTTTTTGATTGAGAATGTGTTGGAGACTCTTATGGTCAGTGAAGATTGTATACTTTGTACCATAAAGGTAGTATCTATAAATCTTTAGGACAAATACTACTGCTCCTAATTCTAGGTCGTGTGTGGTGTAGTTGATCTTGTGAGTCTTGAGTTGTCTTGAGGCATAGGAAATGACCTTTCCCCATTGCATGAGTACACAACCTAGACCCTTTTTGGATGCGTTGCAATAGACTACAAAGTCTTCTGTTCCTTCTGGAAGTGACAAGATTGGAGCACTACATAAATCTTGTTTTAGTGTTTAGAAGGCAGTTTCTTGTTTATCCCCCCAGTTGTAGATCTCTCCCTTCTGGGTTAGGGTAGTAAGTCGCTTTGCTATTTTGGAAAAGTTTTGTATGAACCTTCAGTAGTAGCCAAAAAGGCCTAAAAAACTAGCAGATTTTTGTCGGTGTCCTCGGCGCTTCCCAGTTTTCAATTGCCTTGATTCTGGAGGGATCCACATGTATCCCTTCTTCGCTAACCACGTGTTCCAAGAAGTCTACCTTTCGAATCCAAAATTCATACTTTGAAACTTTTGCATATAGCTTCTCCTCCCTTAGCATCTCCAAGACCTGTCTCAGATGTTGACTATGCTCTTCCTTACTTTGCGAATAGATTAAGATGTCATGGATGAACAATATCATGAATTTATCTAAGTAAGGTCGGCATATGTGATTCATTAGATCCGTGAATACTATGGGTGGATTAGCCAATACGAAGGGCATCACAACGAATTCGTAATGGCCATAACGAGTCCTAAACGTCGTCTTAGGAATATCTTCCTCTTGGATTCTGAGTTGATGGTACCCCTACCTTAGATCGGTTTTTGAGAAGTAACCCGATCCCTGAAGTAGGTCGAACAGGTTGTCAATTCGGGGTAGGGGATACCGGTTCTTGATAGTGAGTTTGTTTAAATCCCAATAATCAATGCGCATACGAAATGGTCCGTCTTTCTTCTTTATGAACAAAACTGGTGCTCCCCAAGGTAAGAAGCTTGGTCTGATGAACCCTTTGCCCAACAGTTTGTTCAGTTAACTAGACAATTCCCACATCTATGCGGGGGCTAATCGATATGGTGATTCGACTATAGGGTTGTCTTTAGGAATCAAGGCGATTCTGAACTCGACTTATTGCACGGGTGGTACTCCCGAAAGGTCTTGTGGGAATACATCAAGAAAATTATAGACCTCCGGAATGTCCTTGATGTCCTTCGCCTCTTGCTTCTCATCAAGAACGTGATCTAGGAATACATGGTACTTCTTGCGTAGGTACTTTTGAGCCTTGATGCAAGAGATGATTCGGAGGTTTATGTCGGGTTTTTCACCATAGATGACAAGGGTTTCATTATTCGGTAAGTTAAGTCAGATGGATTTTTCATAACACATGATATCGGCATGGTGAGAGCTTAACCAATCTATGTCATCAATCACATCAAAACTTCTTATTGTAACAGAAAGTAGGTCGATTTGGAAGGAGTGATTATTTAGGGTTAGGGTGCATCATATGTAAATATCTTTAGTGCTTTCAGTTTTTCCATTTTCCATTTCTATTGTGATATTTTGTTGAGTGATTGAGGTTTTTGTTTCAATATGTGTTTAAACTTGTGGCTCGTAAAACTCCTCTTCGCACCACTATCGAAAAGTATGCATGAATATGAGTTATTGAGGAGAAACATATCGGTAACCACAGTGGGGTCCTTTATTTCTTCCTCATGCACTATTTCCAAAACCCTTTCGACGCCTCCGACATTTTTGTGCTTTGCCTTTGGGCACTCCCTTTTGAAATGCTTTGTCTCATCACATCCGTAACACGCCTGAATCACCCTAGCATTAGTGGCTTGGGTGGTCTGTTGTGCTTGGCGCCCTACAGAAATGGGCGGTATGACCCTTCTGGTTGCAATTGTTGCAGTGCATCTCCCGGAAAGCTCCATTGTGATGGAAGTTGCACTTGTTGCATTTTGGCAGATTCCCAACATATTGTTTGGCTGGTGCTGGGGCAGCAGGGACGGTGATGGCATGGACGGCCACATTTTGTTGTCTTTTGATAGACTCCTGAGTTGGATGTCCCTTCTTCTTATTCCCAAACTTTTGCTTGTTATCTCCCCTTTTTGGTTGCTCGGGTGTGGGGGCCATAATTCCTTTTCGGACTCCCTGGTCGACAAGAGTTTGTGCCAAACGTTTGGTACTGTCGTAGGTGGTTGGGTTGGCAGATATGACCATTCCTTGAATATGGGGGGATAGCCCCCAGATGTATCGTTCCACTTTCCTGGCTTCTGGGGTGACCATCCTGGGGCACAGAACTGCCAAGTCGTTAACCTGGCGGTGTAAGTAGTCACATAAGAGCCCATCATGGTATGGTTCCAAAGCTCTTGCTCCGGTTTTTGAAGTTCGCTTCTTGGGCAGTACTCTCCCAGCATCATGACTTTCAAGTCCTCCAAACTCATAGAGTTGGCCACAACGAGTGTCAGAGTCTTAACATGGCTATTCCACCAGGATAAGGCCGAGTCAGAGAAGGTACAAGTCGTGTGCTTGAATTTATATTCGTTCGGGCATGAACAAATTTCAAATATGGATTCGGTTTTCTCAAATCATCACGTCAATGTGATGACACCCCGTCACCATGAAACGTTCTGGGCTTGCAGTTCATAAATTTTTTGTAGGAGCACACTCGTTGGTGCCCTTGACTTTCACTAAGATTGGAGTTGTTGGCACCATTCCCGCTCCTGTTTCCATTTCCGTTTCCATTTCCGTTTCCATTCCCGTTCCTATTTGTGCCATTGCCGCTAGTTTGTGCCATGGCGGCTGCCACTACGACTGTCACAACGGCTTGGAACATAGTGAGGCCCATTGGTGGAGTTGCTGTTGGTGTGGCTGCTGGTGTCTCGTAGACATGTTTGTTAGTTCTGCATAGTGGCCTTCTTTTGCCATAAAGATTAAAGATAGAATGATGGTAAGTCCTTGATAATCGTTATGAATCGGGTATTATCGAAATAGAACGTCTCAACTACATGTTTAGTTATGTCTCACCTTTATTGCAACTTATAAACATCACAATAAAATAAATACAACTACTAAAATAAGTAAACGATTGCATAACAATTTATGAATTTAATAGTGATACCTAATGAAATAAGATGCAAACCATTTCATTGATAATGATTTATAGTAATACATAGTTTTGGAAAATTGGACCTCCATAGAGTTCTACAACACCTGATACTCAAAATAAAATTTGACAGCATAACAACCCTTAGAATAGTGTAATCACCAATGCTTACTCATAAATCCTAGTCTATAACAAAGGTCAAGTAGCATAAGAACTACTCATGGCGAGTGGTATCCTGCGGTCCCCGGAGTGTAGCCATGAATGCCCGCATCTCCTTTGCTTCCTCTGCAAGTCCTCCACCCATCGAGGTTTCGGGCCCTGAAATGGTACCTCTGTAAGTAAGATCTCAGGTCTATGAAAAGGAAGTATCCTCTTCTGAGGAGTGCACATCCATGATAGTATTAACACATAAAAATCATTTTAATTTACTCTTTAAAATACGACATACATTTGTCTGTCGTAAATCATTGATATTTTACGATATATTACATAAATTTTATGATAGACTTTTATGTCTATCATAAAAGTGTTGTATTTCGTAATTCGTCTGTCAAGAAAAACTTTTTTTCTAGTAGTGGGGTATGCCTATATTTGTTGGGCGTTAGAACTTAAAAAGAGAGGATTCTTGTCAGAGAATGATTGAATGAATCAACGATTTCATCAGTTAGGGTATTTACCCCCCCCCCCCCCCTTGAATTTTTGGACGTAAAGCAATAGAATATGATGTGAAATAGAAATTTTATAGTAAAATGAGTTAAAATCCATACTGTGTCATATAAGGGAATTGAAAAAAATCAGCAATACTTTATACAACACATAATATTTAGTGACATTTATATCAATATACCACTAATAATAATAAATATTAGTGGCATAAAATGTTAAAGTGCCATTAAAAACAATAATTTTATAGTGGCATATAAAATGTCACTAAAAGCATGATATAATGGCACAAAAACATATGCCATTAAAAAAATGTATTTCACTAAATGTCATTTTGTTTGTAGGGTTAACTTTGTGATTCAAGTCTACTAGTTCTAGTTGGCACAACACATATCATCCGAGGAAGCAAATTGATAGTTATGCCTGCTCCAATCTCAATGCAACATTAAATAAAAAAAATTAGACATCCAACAATTTTATTAACTATTGATTAAGTTGGTAAGTGGTAACAACTAAGAAAATCTATTTCCTATAAGTTTTTGCAAATAAAACTTCCAGAATCAGTCATACTGTGATTAGATTAGACTACATATGGAGACATAAAAGGGATAATGTCACTGTAGCACATGGAACTTTTTACATTTGGCTAATTTGGTCCTTAAAGTTTTTTTTTTGGTACATTAGACCAGTAAAATCGTAATTGACCTTTTAATTACACCATTTTATCAACTTTTAGAAGGTTTCCCGGTTATACGATGCCATTTTGTCAATTAATATATATCTTTTGTCTAATCCGATGCCACGTGAGATATGCCACATAAATTAATGATATACAAAGCTTAAAGCCTTTCATTTTCAGCTATCAAACTTCACTCGTCTTCGTCTTCATTATACAGCTGTAAAAGAAACTGATTTAGGGTTTGTGAAGCATTCCTGTGATCGAGCTGAAAGAAACAAAGAAGTCATAGCAATGGCACAATCGGTACCTAATGGACTGTTTGCGATGGTGGAACTCAACTACCAAGGGGTATTTAATTGAAATCCTTTCTCTTACATTGGTGGTGTTAAAACCATCTTCAATGATGTTGACTTTTCTTTTATGACTTATTCTGAGTTTGTGACCTTCTGCGAACGTTTCATGCATGAAGAGTGTAAAAAGTTTTACTACTGTGAACCAGACATGTCCCTGATGGAAGGGCTTAATCCCATTTCAGATGATGTGGAATATTCTGCTTTTATTTTTGATTCTTATGGAACAGATGCTGTAATTTCGGTTTATGTGGATCATATTGGGGTTGGTGTTGATGGGTGGCATGATGATGAAGATAATGATGATGATGAACATGAGTCTTGTATTGATGATGAAAATGAAGACAACATAGATGAACTTAGAAATGTTGCCTTTGAATTTAATGAGGATGTAGTGCATATGAATAGGACATCAAATGATCCTTTCTTGAGTAAGTTATGTGTTGATGATGAGGATGCAAACAACATTGTAGATGATGACAATGGGAGAGAAGTTGAAGTTAACATACAAACTCATTCCATATTTAATGAGCTATTACACTGGAAAAAACAAAAACCAATTCTAGGGATGTGATTTAAGGGTCCAGGGCAAGTAAAATCAATGTTGTGTAACTATGCTATAGCTAATCGATATCAATTGTGTTTTGAAAAAATGATAGGACAAGATTTTTGGTGAGGTGTAGCAAGGGTGCTTGAACATTTAGATTATGGGCTTCCTGGATGAGTGATGAAGAGAGTTTCCAAATCAAGTCACTAAAAGCTGATCATAATTGTGCTAGGAACTTCAAGTTTGGATCATTGGTGACATATGCATGGATTGGAAGTCACTATACCAAAGAGATTGTAGAAAGTCAGAAAATAAGTGGAAGGAAGCTTAGGTTAAAGGCACTGGACAAGTTTGGTATCCAAGTTAGTATGGGGCAATGTAGAAGAGCAAAGAAGTATGCATTGAAACTTGTTGAAGGTAACCTTGTTGAACATTATGGTAAGCTATGGCCATATGGTCATGAGATTTTAAGGACAAATCCTAGGTCAACTATGAAACTAGATATGAAGGATGGTCCATATGGAAAGAAATATTTTAGCAAGCTCTATTGTTGTTTTCAAGGAGTTAAACAAGGTTGGATTGAAGGGTGTAGAAGGGTAATTGGTCTTGATGGATGTTTTCTTAAAGGTTTTTTTAAGGGAGAATTGCTTTGTGCTATTGGGAGGGATGCAAATGACAAGATATACCCTATTGCTTGGGTAGTGGTTAATGTGGAGAACAAGCAGAATTGGAAGTGGTTTCTAGAGCTTCTCATTGATGATCTACACTTGAATTTAGGAAATGGTTTTAGTTTAATGTCATACCAACATAAGGTTAGTATTTTACATAGTAATGCATTTATGTTAATTTTACACTATCTAAATTAAACCTTTTTACTACTATAGGGTTTGATAGAGGCTATTAAAGAGTTGTTGCCATATGTAGAGCACAGGCAGTGTGCTAGACATATTTTCCAGAATTTGCCGAAGATATTTACTGGTGCCATATATCATACCTTGTTTTGGAGAGCATCTAAAGCCACAACTGAGCATGCTTTTAAAGTTGTGATGAAAGAAATTGAGACATTGAACTCAGATTCCCATCAATATCTCATGGAGAAGGATCCTAAAACATGGTCAAGAGCTTTCTTTCAAACTGGAAGGTGTTGTGATGCAGTTGAAAATGGGTTCTCAGAAAGTTTTAATGCTATAATAGTAGATGCCAGGAAGAAGCCCATAATAACCATGTTAGAGGAGATAAGATTATACATGATGGATAGAATCTACAACATGAAATTAAAGGGACAACAATGGGGAAATCATATTTGTCCAGAGATAACGGATAAGGTGAATTTGCTTAAAAAAGCTCAAAGGCATTATCAAGTACTACCAAGTGGATTAAACCAGTTTGAGGTAAGGGGAGCAATAGATGCATATGAGGTGGACTTAGAAAGGAAAACATGCTCATGTAGGTTGTGACAATTGAATGGATATGGATGTGCTCATTTTGTAGCTAGCATATCCTTTCTTAATAGGGATGTAGAAGCCTATGTAGACAACATATTTAGCACAACCACATTTAGGAATGCATACAATTACAGAATTTCTCACATGAATAGCAGTGACATGTGGCCAGAGACAAACTATACTCCACCATTACCTCCTATTAATAGAAGGATGCCTGGTAGGCCAACTACTAAGAGGAAGAAATTCACTACAGAGAAACAGGAACACACAGGGTTTCTAATGCTGGAAAGAAAATCAGATGTAGTATTTGCAAGGAGATAGGTCACAACAAGGCCACTTGTCTACATAAAAGGCCCCAAAAGTTAAATGTGAAGAAACAGAAGAAACAAAGTATGTGTGAAGCAAAATGCAGGACAGGTAAAACAATTTAAAATATAAGATTAATTACATATAATTTGTTACTAACATAATTATATCATGCCATGTAGGGTAGTACAAGTGAACCACAACAACATGAAGAGGTTGAAATGACTCCAATTGAGATGGATACTACTCAAAATGATATGCAAGTTGCTCCTACTGATGTTGAATCTAGTAGTGCAGGGGATTTTAGTCATTATATGCAGTTTACTCCACCTAGATGTTATGAAGGTGATGAGGGTGTTATGTGTGAGGAAGCTGATGTGGTTGAGGAAAAGGGTATGTTGGTCATTTAAGAACGTATGAAAGAAAAAGGGCATTTTGGTCATTTAAGTATTTATGAAAGAAAAAGGTTATGTTGGTCATTTATTTATTTATGACAGATAAGGGTATGTAGGTCATTCATTTATGTATGCAAGAAAAGGGTAATTTGGTCATTTAAGTATGTATGACAGAAAATGGTATTTTGGTCATTTAAGTATGTATGACAGAAAAGGGTATGCTGGTCATTTATTTATGTATGACCGAAAAGGGTATGTTGGTCATTTATTTATGTATAACATGTAGTATGAAAGTATGTTACTATTTTAAGTAAAATCATTACATTTGGCTTTGAATATTTATGCATGGAAAAAATTGGAATAATGTGCATGCATGGGGATTTTTATATGGTCCCGGATATAGTTTTTTAATGGCTTTACAAGTCCCATTTTTTCATTATTAGAACAATTCAAATGGTCCCCATACACATAGTGTACTTCCACATGGACCACTCCCTAATTTGTTCCCAAATTTAAAACATTCACAACAACCAATCTAATTAAATATATTTGTTGGGAATATAGACCATGCATATGTTTGATAAACATCATCTGATTATACAAAATGCCCTACAATTGGGACTTTGAATATTTTTTTACATTACTTATCATATGCTCTTTCATTATGGACCTACCACCTTACAACATCAACACATTAAGGTTGATAACCCCAACTTATAACTAAAACCAGCTTCAATACATACAAAATGCCCATAATTATTGACTTTCTAGTCTGCCTTTACAAAAAATACAAGGGATCCCCAAAAAACAAAAGCTTACACTAACTAACCAAACTAACTACATTGACCCCCCCCCCCCCCTCACTTCAAAACACATAGGGCCAAGCAAGCAAACAATAGGGCAACTATCATCCTGTACCTGCCTATTGCCTTCCTTGCATCATGAACTTCTTTTTCACTCTTTGCCACCTTATACTACTCCTGTGACAGCAGAAACTCCACTTCAGCAATCATTCTCCTCAATTTGTTCATCTCAAACAGTTCATCTTTGGCATCCAGTTTCTACTTCAGAGAGTATAACAGGTTTTTGTAGTACCCGTCTACTTGTTCTTCATCTTTCCATTCAAAGAAGTTACATTTCCTCAACCTAGTATGAAAAAAGCCAATAAAATTAGGGTTTGACTGACAATCACAAATCAACTACCTTTAATATACCAGCGAAATGGGTTTTATTCACAGTGATCGTCAAGAAGCAAATAAAATTAAGGTTTTTAACAGATGAAACAAAATACAAATACACCATTATCGTCTTTACAGAAAGAAACAACACATCAAACCATAAAATACTACTAACTTATCAAAATCAAGAGAATCGGGACCTACCATACTGTTTTGACAATTCTAGAATCGCCTCCTAGGGTTTGTTATCTTCCAACAGATTCGTTCTTTAGCTGGAACGCCACAATCACAAACCTTTACCCCTTCTTGCGACTGAACATGAGTGACATGTAGCTGATTCCTTGACGTCGAAGAGCTCGAAGACATTCTTCTTTAGGATGGAAATAGTCGGGGAGGGAGAAGTCTTTGACTTTTCAGAGAAGGGTAAGTAAAGATTTAAAGGAGGTCTGAATGAAGGTTTGAATTAATAAGCCTATATCGACAACTGGACTACTTCGACACATAAGCTTCCCACGTAAGCTTATTGGACACATCAACGGCCACATAAGCATTGTAACCAAGAAACCTTCTAAAATGGTGTAATTAAAAGGTCATTTACGAGTTTACTGGTCTAATGTACCAAAAAAAACTTTAAGGACCAAATTAGCCAAATATAAAAAGTTTCATATGCTACAGTGACATTATCCCGACATAAAAAGTTAGTTTTCAGCAAAGAGACGTAAGAAATTCTAGAAAGACAAATTTTTAGTAACTTCATAGTTAGTCTGCGACATAAATTGTAGCTTTACTTAAAAAGTAAAATATTGTAGAAAGCTTATATGGGTGTATGCAGTGAGCTGTACGACTTTCAGATCTTAGAGATTGTAATGTTTCCTCGCTTACCTGTAAATATTTCCTCTGCAGAGACTTGAAGGATCCCATTGGCATCTATACTAAAGCAAACCTCTAATTCTGATCTCCCATCTGGTCCTAAAGTCAGGATTTTAGTGGAAAAATCAATGCGCTTATACAAGCAATCAATTTCGATTGAATTTAGTGTGGTTGATGATAAGTCTCTCTTTGCTTTCTCACAAGCAACTTTCAACCTAGCTAATGCTCTAGGATTTCCGCTAATGTCCTCGTTGTGTTTTTTCTTGAATTCCTTAGTGCAGTGATTAACAAGCATAATATCAAAATCCTCACCACCTAAATGAGTGTCGCCCCCAACAGCTTTGACATCAATAACACCTGTGTTACCAACTGTCAAAAGAGATATATCAAAGGTTCCACCACCCAAATCAAATACCAGTATGTTCCTATCCTTCTGTCATATAATTGTGTTGAAAATATTATGAATTAATATACAATCTTATATTTATTTTTATACGTATATGTATATAGTGTATATGTATAAGTAAATGCAGGTGTGAAGCGCGGACCTAAATAGGGTCGGGTTAGATCCGTTTCAATGATAGGAGGTATAAAAGAAGAGAGAGAGTGGGAAGAGATCAGATAAGCAAGATATTTTTCATCTCGTTCTTCTCTCTTATGATACAAGCTCTTTCAGTTAGGGTTTTCTTAAAGATCAAAACGATTGAGTAGTAGATCTGTTGTATTTTTCCTGATCGTTCTTTATATTCTGTTGTGTTACATCTTGTTCATTTATCTCTGATAATCATTATAGATTAGGGCTTGAGTGTTTTGTTATGAGAGTAGAATAGGGTTTTTGTAGTGAGGTTTTTGATGTATGTTCTTGAAAACCTTTTGTTTCTTTGTCCTCAAATGATATAAGAAATGAAGATGTTGGGAAAAATGTGTTTGTAGTTTTTTAACAAATTGTCAACACCTCATTTATCAAAAGCATTACATTTAGTCCGGCTATAACTGCTGCTTCCTTTGTTGCCTCTCGTTGCATGCTGTTAAAATAAGCAGGAACAGTGATCACAGCATCAGTGACTTTCGTCCCAAGAAATTCTTCACAAGCATCTTTCATCTTCTTGAGAACCATGGCCGATAATTCTTCAGGTGCATATTTCTTTTCTTCACCCCTGAATTCGACTACAATAGCTGGCTTCTCCGAAGGTCCTTCAATGACCTTGAAAGGCCACGACTGTATATCCTTCTGCACTTGAGGGTCACTAAACCTGCTCCCAATCAAACGCTTAACATCTGAAAATTTAGAGGATTCCAATTAGCGTGATGAATGAAGTTATATTTATAAGTGAATTCAAATTGAGGAAGAAACAAAGCTGTTTTGAATATAAAACTTGCCATATACGGTGTTCGTAGGGTTCCTCGCGATTTGGTTTTTTGCACCCTCGCCTACCAAGACTTCTGTGTCGTTGAATGCTACGACAGATGGAGTGATCTTGTTTCCTTGTTCGTTAGGTGTTATCTCCACTCGATTTTTGTTGGAAAGCCAGACACCAGCACATGAATACGTCGTTCCAAGATCAATGCCAATTGCTGCTCCTTTTACTCTTTTAGGCATATTTGAAGCAGACATGGAAAGACAAGGGTAGGAATCGAAATAAATCACTAGAGCAGATAATAAGATGATGGTATCTTAATCTTGAATACGTTTGAAAAACCATGCATTTATATTCGAACGAGTCTTAATTTGCAATTGAAGTTCATGACACAGGTATCGAACAGACCAACTGTCATATCCAGATAATAGGATGATCTCCAAGAGTCGTGTACATTCCCCAAGAACTTCACTAACGTTCGTCTGGATAAAGTGTAGTCGGTTGCTTTTTCCATGAGTCGTGTCTTTTGGGTGGTTTATACATGTATATCAATAATCAATAATGGTATATATATATTTTTCTTCTTCATTATTTTAACCTTTCAAAATTTAATGATATTATGATGCAAAACCAGCTTAATGAAATTTTAGACGACCACGACCAAAACCAGCTTTTCTTGAACCATAAATTTAACACAACCAGAAATTTAAGAGCTAAAAATTTAACAAAGTCAATCTACCGCTTTGTAACATATCCACCCGGACTCGTATTGTTAATAAAAATAAGTGTAAGCGGGTAATTTTATTTAAATTCTTATATTTTAATTTTGAAAAAATAATAAAAATAATAAATTTTGACAAAAAAAAGACATGCAGTTGAAATTACACGGTTAGACTTATTTCTATAAGCATGTAGATTAATAAGTTACATGTTTAGTTGACATTTTACTACAAGAAATGCACCCTCTATAAGTCGTCTCAACAACTTAACCTATCCTGACGACAAGTTGTCAGACATTGACTAATTTTCTTTGACCTTGACGTCTATGTCGAGGACATGTCGTGGCAATAGCTTAGGCAGGAAATGAAATAAGTTACACAGTTTTCTTAAAACCTATTCTTACGATATTCTTATGACATGCTGTCGGTATAGGTTACAAGAAATATAATTTCTATGTATTTATATTTCATGTTGCAATAAAAAGTGACGGTGTTTCTAGAAAGTTATGTCGACGACAAGTCGTCGGTAAACCATGCTGACGATCCGTGTGAAAGCTACCTCGACGAAAGGTTGTTGGTATGTGTGTGTATATATATATATATATATATATATATATATATATATATATATATATATATATGTAGTAATTTACAGAAACAATAAAACGACGTTGTATATCTTAATTGTTATGTCGACGACAAATCGTCAGTAAAACATGCTGACAATCCGTGTGAAATCTATCCGTACGATAAGTCGTCGGTACAAAATTTTATCCTTTTGTTCTTTTTTTTTTCTTTCCGATTTACATAAACAACAAAATGATGTCGTATATCTTAACCTTATATCGACGAATTGTCGTCAACATAGGGTTTTATGGTATGGTATTGGGTCAGTCAACCCTCATTTGTAGTGTCGCACCAAAAAAAAAATCTCTCTTGATCATCGACGATTCTCGTTCTTCTCCAGTGGCAACGTCGACCCTTATGTAACTTCTAGGTCACTCTTTCATCTCCGGCTTCCCTCTTTTTCTGGTTGGATTTTGAGATGTTTGGGTTTTTTCTGGTTTTGCTTGGTTTCCCGTTAAGGTAGTCGCCAGAGGACCACCGACGACGACACTGAGTTCCAACAACCACCTATTTCCAGCCACCACAATAGGAGTTGCATGTAAGGTTTTTTGATTTCTCGGTTTTTTTTTTTTTTTTTTTTTCCTGATTTAGGGTGTTTTTTGGTGACCACCAGCCACTACCACAGGACCACCATCTACATCCACCACAGTAGGAAAACATATAAAGTTTCTAGTTTTTTCTTTAGTTTTATCTTTGATTAGGTTATTGTGGTATCTATTTAGAATCTTTGACTAGGTGATTGTTGATATTGATGCTTGTATGTATTTAGAATATTTTATTAGGTAATTATTGATGTTGAGTGGTTATTTTGGATGTATAAAATGTATAATATGTTATATGATTGTGTTATTTGTTTAGGTTTGCTAGTTCAAGTACATATAAGATGAAGTGATAAATTGCTTAATTGATATGTGTTTAAAGGTTTTGTATTTAATTCCATGATAAGTTCTTAGTGATTAACTGACAAGTGATTAATGTGTTTCTATTTTTATAAGTGCTTAATTTGTTCTATAAGTGGATTCTTAATAAATAGTTGCTAATGAGTTGTATTGTAAATTGTTTAATATTGTTAATGACTTAATTATAATCATTATGACTTCAGTGATAAAATGTATAATATGTTATATGATTGTGTTAGTTTTTTAGGTTTAGTAGTTTGAGTTCATATAAGATGAAGTGATAAATTGCTTAATTGATAAGTGTTTAAAGGGTTTGTATTTAATTTCATAATAAGTTCTTAGTGATTAATTGACAAGTGATTAATATGTTTCTATTTTCATGATAAGTGCTTAATTTGTTCTATAAGTAAATGCTTAATGAATAGTTGCTAATGGGTTGTATTGTAAATTGCTTAATATGCTTAATATTGTTAATGACTTAATTGTAATCATTATGAATTTAGCTTAATTAGGTAATATGATTGTTTAAAGTACAATGTTATAGTTGAAAAACAACAAAAGTAATTTGTTATAATAGAAAAAAAATATATTTAAAGTACAATGCTATAGTTAAAACACAAATATAAGATGCTATAAATACTATAAATATGAAAAAAAAGTGCAAATAGAATGTTTTATTAAACAAATAATAAAAGTATGTTGCTATTAAAGAAAACCTAACTAGAAGGGTTATTAATAGCAACGTACTTTCATTATTTTGTTTATTAAGGCATTTTATTTTTATTTCTCTTTTATATTTATAATAGAAAACAAAAAAATATTTAAAGTTTAATGTTATTATGTATAATCTAGGGTAAATGGCACAAAAAATACTCTTTTTACACAGAAATTTGATTTTGACACCGTGTTTTTTTTTTTTTTGTCAATTTTGATACTGTGTTTTCCAATTTGTTACAATTCTGACCATTTGACCGGTTAACCAGGTTGCACTGATGTGGCATGATGACATGTCAGTTTTAATGATGTGGCATGCTGACATGATATGCCGACGTGTCAAAATTAAATTTTTTTTCTCACAAAAAACACTAAGTTTTCATTTTTTTTTTCGATTTTGATACTAAGTTTAATTTTTTTCGTTCAACTTTGCCACTATGTTTTTTTTTGTTCCAAATCAATCATTTTTTCCAATTTTGTTCAATATTGACAATTTTCTATTTGAAACCGTATAAATATTCTTTTAATATATTTAAACCGTATAAATATGTTTTTTTTTTTTTTCATTTAAAAATCATAGTTTTGTATAAACACATTTTTTTTACACTCAAACCATTTTTTTTGTATAAATATGTATTAGTTATATAAAAATTGTATTTTATATTAAATATGCAACTTTAAAATGTGTTTGGAGGTTTGGAGGCGTGTAGTTGATCAAAACTCGGATATCAAGTTTGCAACCCATCAAATTTTTACATCTTATTAGAAGTTTATGGTTAGTTTGATTCTCATGATATAACTAATGCTTTGAATGTAAGAAAAAAAACACCTTGTATCTAAATAAAAATGTGGTTTTTAAAAGAAAAAAATATGTTTATATGGTTTAAAATGTAATAGAAAAAAATATATCTATACGGATTAAAGGGAAAATAGACAAAATTGAACAAAATTTGATAAATGATGTTCGATTGGAACAAAAAAAAACATAGTGTCAAAATTGAAATAAAAAATTAAACTTAGTGTCAAAATCGAAAAAAAGTGAAAACTTAGTGTTTTTTGTGGAAATAAAATCAATTTTAACACGTCAGCTTATCATGTCAACATGTCACGTCATCAAAATTAACACGTCATCATGTCACGTCAGCATGTAACCTGCTTAACCGGTCAAGTGGTCAGAATTGTAACAAATTGGAAAACACAGTGTCAAAATTGACAAAAAAAAAAAAAACACGGTGTCAAAATCTAATTTTTGTGTAAAAAAGTGTTTTTTGTACCATTTACCCTATAATCTAATAACTAAATTATTTAAAGTAATTTTATTATAAAAAACCAATAACAAAAAAAAATGAAAATAAAATGATCTAATGATAAAACTAATAAAACTACATTGATATTAAATATAACCTAACTGTAAAGGTTATTAATAGCAACATACTTTTATTACTTTATTTACTAAAACATTTTATATTATATTATTTTTTATATTTATAACAGACTACAAACTAGCAAAAGTATGTTGCTATTAAAAGTACGATGTTATAATAGACAACAAACAAAAGTATTAGCAAATGTTGAATAATTCATTTTTAGTTTAAGTTTCTTCTTTATAATCAATAAGAGCCTAGAAATATCCGTCTGTAATTAGAAATTAATATCGGCTTGCCCCCATTTTGGGATTCTTTTTGAATACTTCATCTCATTTAAGGTTCGAATATGTATTTCAAGATTGTTTTCTTAATAAAAATTTGGTTATCGTTTTCTCTTTGCTCCTGGAGTACATATTTCTTTATATACTTGGGAGCTAAGGGGAAATGTTGTCGAAATTTTCTTAAACAAACAATCACGCAATACACATTCTTATATGAGATAAGGTATTCAAAAAGTGGGTTTAAAAGCCTAACCCTTTTAAATACTGTATCCATTCCTTCCAATTTTTACTTCTTGGGTATATATTTCCTTATATACTTGTGAATACTCTATCCATTATCATGTATATATTTCTTTATATAGTCGAATACAATCTCACTTTCAATAACTATGTATGCAATGTAATTTTTAATAATAAAACAGTAATGACGGTCGATAAGAGTTGGATTAGAGAGAACCAAATGTTTTCAAAATTCTCGGAAGGTCTTAATAACTTTAAGAAGATTAATGAGAAACATGTCAACTCTGAAGGCAAAGTCTATTGCCCGTGCAAAAGGTGTGTAAATATGTATCAACGATTGTTGCATACAGTGTATGCCCACATAGGTTTCTGTAATAGTATACTATGTGGATTTATCATGATAAGAAACA